GCATTCTCTGCAACTTATGGAATAAATTACACCGGTATTTTTGTCGCTGTTGATTTTGTTTTAGGCCTTAGTAAATGTTAAAGAATTTCATTTTTGCTTTCGTTTTCCTAAGGCGACACATTTTACTTCATCTTGACAACATGTACGATAAATTACAAAAGGAAAGTCCCATATTCAGTATAAACTTATGCCTGAAGCCAGATCTCATGCTCCGCCACTAGTTTCCTAAAGTTAAATCGATCGAAAGAATAAGAAAATCCATACTGGATATACGACGCAAATGCGGAATACTTACCTTGGACAAACCTGCAACAGAATTAACGACAGGGGAACGGATTATCTGCCACATACAATATGACGACAAATCCCGGTCTAAGGGGACTTTGACAACACCAAAAACGACGTGAGAGAAAATCGACGAGAAATTCAGCCAGAACAAAAATAGCGGCATGAAAACAACTCAAGATTGGTAGTACACACAGGAAAAAAAGTATGCCTTTGTTCATTTGGACTAAATGTAAAGAATATGGCGACAAAAAACTATCAAAATAGAGAATAGAATGAAGAGCTTTTCAAGTGAGAATACGAATGTCCAAACAGAGACAAGAAAAGTTCTGTCACTAGTCTCGACACAAACGATTAAAAGGCTCATAAGGCCATTACTAAATAAATTCATAATGTCTGTATAAACCTGATCTGTTGAGATCATCATTCTGAGCGGCTTGCATAAGGAGAAGTCTGTGGTTTGTGATGTCTGTTTAATTCGCAACTTTACAACACCTTTTTTAAGGCATCAGTTGCTGCATAAAACAAGGAACAATTTGCATCCGAAACCAGATCTGCCTCTACTTTGTCTCTCCATGTTCCATGCTGACCCTATGGCTGATGGTTGGCAATTTTCTGCTCCCAGAAAATTTACGGTCGGAGTAAATGGCTTATGTCCAAACAGATCCCTGCCCCCCAAAGAGCAAAAACCTTTTTCTCTAAATCTCCAAATTTACTGATATCAATCGGCTCGGAAGAGTACAGTCATTCATTACGTGGTTCTACAAGTTAATCTTCGCTACGTGTCGAAGCTAATGCTGCTGCACGCAGCCGAACAGCCGTTCTTGCTCCTGCCAGGTCAACTGTTTCCATGCCGTACAAAAATAGTGACCTGACAGAGGCAAGATAAAAGCGGATATT